GGAATTTTCTATAGCCGGCGATTGAGAATTCCTATGGCTGGCTGTAGGAATTCTCAATCGCCGGCTGTAGAAAATTTAGGGGTTCGCAGCTAGGGGATGGTGGAAAAGGGTTAATTGTGGAAATAAATTTTGAAACCATGAAAAATAATAATAATGAAACTACTGGGACGTAATTTACCCGATTTTGAAGATTAGACATTTTTACCTACCTTAGGGATTGAACCCGGGACCTGCCTAACACAAACCGAAGACCCTAACCATTAAGCTATACCAGATGCTGCCTTCATGTGACGCAAAACCGATATTTAACGTCGATTTGAACGGGAAACTAGGATATTTTCAATCTGCCTGGATTTGTCCGTGTATTTATTTTACTTTTTACTTTACTATATTTTTTAAATTTATTTTATCGTTTTACTTGATTTATTTCCTTGCTGACTCTATTTTTTTCTTCACTCTATTTTATTTTTTCAAGTACTTCATTTTTTTTCTTAAATTATTTACTTCTTATTCCCTTATTTTGTTTTATTTTTTACTGTAATTTATTTTAATACTTCATCATGTTTACTTTTTAAATTCATTCTATTCTTTAACCTCATTTAGTTTCTTCCCTTATACTTTATTTTTTCTTCACCTCATTTTTTTACTTCATCTCCTTGCTCCCTCTAATTTTTTACTTCAATTTAGTCTTTGACTTCATTTTATCATATATTTAATTTACTTTATTTGATTTCTCTTCTGTTGTCTCTGTAATTCTATTATTTCTGCTACTCTATTATTTCCACTATTCTATTCTATTATTTTACTTATTTAAACTTTAAATTTTTCATTTTCATCATTGGATTGGTAGGCCTAAAGGGAAGAAGAGACAGTATAGAGCGCTAGTGCGAGAGAGAGATAGCCTAGGTGCGCGTGACTTAGGGCCCAACTGAAGCTCCGGTGCTGAGTGCTTTGCGCACTCATGCGACACATCTCAGCACCTATGCGCTGAATCTCACTCCCCTGTTCATTCTCAATCCGGATTTTCCGTTGGACGGAATCAACGATTTTTAACAGTGTATATGGCCGATTCAAATAAAAAAAAATCAAAATCAAATCAAATTTTGGAAAAGTAAGAATTATTGAGAAAAAATTGAAGAAAAATATTTTTAGAAAAGAAACCAGGATAGATTCACTGGCGCTTATGATGATTTTCGAAAAAAATTACTTTTTTAATTGCCCCTCGTGCACACGCGTATTTCCAATCGCCGGATACTGAACATTCTGTTGCCGGCTACAGATGGCTGTTTTGGCAGCGGATGGTTATTGCCGTTATCCACAAGTGGCCAGCTATTGAATGTCCTATCGCTGACTATTCACGGCTAACGCTGGCTGCAGAACGTTCTATCGCGGCCATTCGTGGCTATCGCTGGCTGTAGAACTTTCTATCGCCGGCTGTAGAACTTTCTCTCGCCAGCCATACGTGGCTATAGCCGGCGATTGAACGTTCTATCGCTGGCCATTCGTGGCTATAACTGGCGATTGAACGTTCTATCGCCGGCCATTCGTGGCTATAGCCGGCGGTTGAACGTTCCATCGCCGGCCATTCGTGGCTATAGCCGGCGATTGAGCCTTCTATCGCCGGCCATTCGTGGCGATAGAGCTTTTTATCGCCGGTCATAAGGGCGATAAGAAAATCCTATCGCCAGCTATAAAAGCTATAGAAAATCCAACAGACGGCCATAAGATTTCTCTATCGCCTTTATGGCTTATTTTTACCAGGGACTCTCCATGGTCCTCTCCCGTCTGGGTGGTTCCCAGAGAGACTGACGCTAGTGGAAAGAAAAAATGGCGGATGGTAATCGACTACAGGAAAATTAACGAAAAGACCATCCCTGAAGAATTCCCGATACCTAACATCTCCGACCTGTTGGACAAACTTGGGAAATGTACTTACTTTACGACCCTTGACCTTGCAAATGGCTTCCACCAAATAGAAATTGACCCAGATAGCGTTCCTAAAACAGCATTCAGCACGGAAAATGGCCATTTCGAGTACCTTAGGATGCCTTTTGGACTTATGAATACCCCTGCAACGTTCCAACGCTTAATGGACTCTGTTTTAGCAGGCTTACATGGTAAAATATGCTTAGTTTACCTTGACACCATTCTGATTTTTTCTTCTTCTCTTCAAGAACACATAAGACATTGTCGCCTAGTCCTCGAACGATTAAGACAGTTTAACCTGAAAATCCAGCTGTATTCATCAGAATTTTTTAGACACGAAACGGAGTATTTTGGCCACTTAATAACTGACGAAGGTGTGAAACCTTGTCCAACAAAGATCTCTACCATTACAGACTTTCCGGTGCCTAAGACCCCAACAGAAATAAAATCCTTTTTAGGCCTTCTTGGTTACTACAGAAAATTTATTCCCGATTTCTCCCGTCTTACAAAATTTTTAACGGTGTGCTTGAAAAAAAATGCCACAATTCCTTACAACAACCCAAAATTCATTGAACGTTTTAATCAGTGCAAAGAATTGTTATGTAATGATCCAATTCTTCAAAATCCGGATTTTACTAAAGAATTTTTCCTTACGACTGACGCCTCAAATTTTGCTTTGGGCGCCATTTTGTCACAGGGCCCTAAAGGCTCTGACCTCCCCGTATGCTATGCATCTAGAACCCTAAATGATTCGGAAACCTTGTATTCTACAATCGAGAAAGAATTATTGGCAATCGTCTGGGCGGTAAAAACTTTTCGCCCCTATTTATATGGTAGAAAATTTAAAATTTTCACTGACCATAGACCGTTAGCTTGGCTATTATCAATAAAAAATCCAGAGAGCAAGCTGGCCCGCTGGAGAATTCAGTTAGAGGAATACGTTTATTCAGTCGAATACAAGCCTGGAAAGAAAAACCTAAATGCAGACGCCTTATCAAGGATACAAATTCATTACACTATTCGTGACCTCCCCGAAGATCTCGACTCTCTGCAAGTAATTGATCTTGATGAACAAGAAGATATCGCGCGAAATAGTGACCTGACTGACGATGACATGGCCTCACTGTTTGTTAATGTAGACATGGAGGAAAACCTTCCCGACTCCATTTCTATCTCCACCTTGGAACCTTCTCAGAAACAGTCCTCAACAGCTCCTACCAACGTTTTTTCCTTTGACCGCATTGCTAACATAATACATAGTTTCGACGAAACTCCTCTCGCCGAGAACGTTTCAGACTCAGAAGTAGATACAGTGCATAGTCAATTAGACACTGATACACTCGAAATCCCAATATCGGAACAAGCTCTGAATTATTCCAAGTATCAAATCTGTTTTCGCCAACATACCATGCCCTCAAATGTTGAAATTCAAAAACTGTTTCAAAATTCCCGAAACGAAAAAACTCGACTTTGGATCACTTTGAACAAGAATACTTTTGAAACGGATGTATCAAAAATCTTGTGCGAGCACCTTAATCCTTCTAACAAATACCGAATGCATTTTTTTCCAGATGTTCTGTACACAAAACTCACCCCTGTCTTGCAAAACACTTTTAAAAATCTCAGGCTAGAAAAAACCAACAGATTCCTTGAGGATATTGAGAATGTTGACGAGCAAATGACCGTAATGTCAAACTGTCACGAAGGCAAAACCAATCATAGAGGTGTAATTGAAACAGAAAACCACCTAACTCGTAAATATTACTGGCCAAACATGCGAAAATCTATCTCAATTTTTCTTGCAAATTGTGATATCTGCAACAGAGCCAAATATGATTGTAATCCACATAAAACACCCCTTGAAAAGACACCTACTGCCTTCAAACCCTTTGAAATCCTCCATTTGGACCTCTTCACGATTTCTGGTCATACATTTTTGACTTTTGTCGACGCTTTCTCAAAATACGCCCAAGCTTACGAGGTTGAAAATAAAACGGCAACCGAAATAGCTGAAAAATATTTAAGGTTTACCCCTCATCATGGCATTCCACAAAAATTGATCGTTGATAAAAGTGGAAAATTTGATAATAAATCTCTGAGGGAAATTTGCAACAGTCATGATACAGAATTTCACCTAATCTCTTCCGACCACCCACAATCTAATGGAATTATTGAAAAATTTCACTGCACCCTCATTGAACATATTAAAACACTTAAGCTCACTCCACAATTCAAGAACGACTCCATTCCTATGTTAGTGTTGTATTCCCTTGTTGCTTACAACAATTCTATTTCTGATGTAACAAAATCAACTCCTCATGAGATCATTTCGGGACATCTCGAAACAAACAACTTCCTAAACGTAAAGGACAGCTTGAACACCCCTAGTAGCCAAAATAGTGCCATCGAATAGGTATCGTCCAGATACCCTATTCTATAGGTATTTAATAGATATTTTATGGGGTATAAAATATACATATTTAGATCCATCTATTTTATAGGTATTTTACATGATTTTTTACAGGTGTATCTCAAAAGCACATTTTATACCCATTAATAAGTATCAAACCAATTTTATTTTTAAGTTTCATGGAAATGGAAATTTTCATCTCTGCATCCTCGTTTCGTGTTCGTGTGATGATAATACGTCCTCGTAGCGGTTGTACTTAGAGTCCCTTTATACTGAGAGTCAAGACAATTCGGCTCATNACACATCTTACATAATGGGTCCCGTTTTGGGCTCTGGACCGATTTCCATCGAAGTGAACGGCTGATGAATGATGCATCTGTAACAAAGCTCAACGCCCTGTCACAATAGTCTGCACCGGGAAAACTAACGAAAATTCCTCGAAATCGTATTTTTGTCTCCAACCAGACTGACTTAAGTCACGCCCATTGAGAGCTTCGTGTATTTTGTTCATTCATTTTTTTAGAAGTTTAAGGGCTCACCACTGCGGTTGACGATGAGATTCGCGGAAAATGATGCAATTCACCTGAATCCAACAAAATGAATACCTAGGCAAATTTTGATTAACAATATTTTTCCCATTATATAACTTCAAAACACTACCCTAGTAGCCAAAATAGTGCCATCGAATAGGTATCGTCCAGATACCCTATTCTATAGGTATTTAATAGATATTTTATGGGGTATAAAATATACATATTTAGATCCATCTATTTTATAGGTATTTTACATGATTTTTTACAGGTGTATCTCAAAAGCACATTTTATACCTATTAATAAGTATCAAACCAATTTTATTTTTAAGTTTCATGGAAATGGAAATTTTCATCTCTGCATCCTCGTTTCGTGTTCGTGTGATGATAATACGTCCTCGTAGCGGTTGTACTTATCTACGTCATCAAGATGGCCGCTACATTTGTAACGGTCTCAGCTCCGCCTTGCGCATACACCGAACCCGTCTAGTCTAAAGCCCATCGCCGCCTTCTTGATGGTTAAAAGTTTTCAAGTTGTTTTATTTATATTTGTTTCAATACTTCATTACTATCAGCTCCGTTGCAGGAATTTGTTCATTGCTTGAATTATTCATCTGTTTGCCAGAGTAAGTAGCTAATTTTACTTTTTTCTCGTACCTTTTTCCATGCCAACCTCACGTTTCCTGCAGGTACCAGAGGATGTAATTCTGCTTGTTGTTTGCGAGTATATATCTGAGCGCCTCATGCGAGTAAAATATTCTCTTAGACGATGGCCCTAACTGTCTCTTTTGAATCTTGTTCGACAAGAATCAAGCATCAAAATAAATTTCTGAGACCAGCGCAACTGACCCATCATTTGCAGTGGGGCTTAATCGTTCATGTGGATCCCGATTCCAGGTTAGGTCCTTCCAATCGTACAAAACTTTTTCATAATCAGGTATTGAAATTATATGAAGTTATGTATGCATTTACTACCATGTGCCATTTCTTACTGCTGTTACAAAGTTGAGTGGAGAGTCTACATCAAATAAGTGTACGCACTCCTTTGGTGGGACAGAAGATAATCTTTCATCAATTTAGCATTGTAAGTGAAGAGCAGAATCGAGATGGTGGATCGGCTGATGCACTCTAAAGGTGCTAATCTTATTTGGAGCAGACCCTTATCACAAATAGAAACTTCCCAACTATTGCAGGCGAGTGCTCCAGTAAGTCTGTAGGAACATCCATGAACATCCTCATACCACCTGCATTTTCCTTGCGTCTTCAAAAGAATGAAGTACACTTAAAGTTTGGTTGCATCTACTTCATCTCTTGTAGGACATCTGAAAGTTGTCTGATTTTAAAATATCTAGAACCACTAGAGCTTCAACAAGAACGAACTGCTCTACGTATCAGTTACTCAACGTATCCTGGCAATCAGTGATTGAATCAGGTTAGGTATCCGTCAAAATTGGATGGTGGGTCCCTGAGTTTTAAATTGTATCGACTGGTGGACTGTGTTTCATCCAGTGGCTCAGACCGGTAAGTAGTGAAGTGGTCAATTTTTAAGTTTTTCTTGGCCCTCCCTCCAGAAGGAAGGGTCTGACTCTCACTTTGAATTCATTCTGTTATCAAAGGGTGGATGATTTATTGTAATGTATCTTAATGTCTGTCTCTATTGATGGTCATTAATTGTAGGTGGGTCAATTGGATGATCTGTCTCTTGCTTTGTATTTTTGCAGATCGACACTTCCAGGAACTATTGCCATATCAGATGTAAATTGCTGCTTAGTGCCATTCGCTCTGTGCCTTTGACATTCTCTGTCATGTGTGGAAGGAACGTCGGGTAGAGAATCGATGGCTACCTTAATATCATCAATGATCGGAGTAAATCATTAAATTATTTAAGCTTCATTTTTGTCGGTGTCAAGGGATGATGTCGCATCTTTTGAAAAATGCATTTTTCTTCTCTATAAATAAACTGAAAAATGGCGTTGTGTTAGTGCTTTTCTGAGAGTGCTGTTCTGCAACCTGATCGTTGAAATTGTGTGTCTGTTGGGTAGACATAGATGACATAGGTTAAAAGGCGGAGCGTGATTGGTCAGCTATATTTTATCACTGCTTTGTTGTGCCTATGTCGGGTGGAACTCACGACAAGCTACAGGCACCTCTTCAGTTTTCAACTGTATGTCCTGATAAAGCAGCGATAAGACATAGCCGACCAATCTTGCTCCGCCTTCTTACCTTTGTCATGTACGTCTACCCGACAAACACAAAATATCAACAATCAGGCTGCTGTTTTGATCAGCTATTAAATCATGGTGCTAATAATTTTTCTCTTACTTTAAAGAGTGCTTTAGATTTTTCTATAATGCACTCATAGTGTTTCAAGTGTTCCTCGGTACTTATACCAGTTCTAATTGTTTGGATTCATTGTTGCAAAGTGGATTTTCCTGACCCAATGGATTACAGATTCGAGCAAGTTGGTGAGTGTTTTTTGTTCATTTTCTAAACTTTAATTGAGCATGTTTGCATGGCCCAAATATCCCGTGCCTCCATGAGGACCTTTGCTTCTCTGGAAATTTAGGCCATGGTTGGTTGCTATACGCTACTGAACCTTGAATTTTCAACAGTACTTGGTGATAAGAATGCCATTTGACGAAATTGAGCCGAAAGGCATCAGTATGGGTTCTTCACATTTTAGTCACAGCTGATTGCCGGCTACCAAACTATGGCTAAATGATAAGAAATTCCATTCAGATTACTTTAAGCATTAATTCCTTTTATTAAATGGGACATTTATACTTTNTTATACCAGTTCTAATTGTTCGGATTCATTGTTGCAAAGTGGATTTTCCTGACCCAATGGATTACAGATTCGAGCAAGTTGGTGAGTGTTTTTTGTTCATTTTCTAAACTTTAATTGAGCATGTTTGCATGGCCCAAATATCCCGTGCCTCCATGAGGACCTTTGCTTCTCTGGAAATTTAGGCCATGGTTGGTTGCTATACGCTACTGAACCTTGAATTTTCAACAGTACTTGGTGGTAAGAATGCCATTTGACGAAATTGAGCCGAAAGGCATCAGTATGGGTTCTTCACATTTTAGTCACAGCTGATTGCTGGCTACCAAACTATGGCTAAATGATAAGAAATTCCATTCAGATTACTTTAAGCATTAATTCCTTTTATTAAATGGGACATTTATACTTTTTTTTTTTTTTCGTTGTCTTGACTTAGTAAACTGCTTAAAAGCAGTTTTTTCTACATTAATCCAAAGAACAAATAAAGACTTGTCGATCAAATTTATTCTCTTGAGTAATCATCATTTTCCTTCTCTCTTATGTCTTGATTCTGGAATCTCTTATGTCAGGATGTTGATCTGTATTATTATTTTTATATTCCTGTTTATTTTTTGGTTTTCTTCATCTCTTTACTAGGATGTATTCTAAGCCTTTGGTATTGTATTCATTTGTTCTTTGTATTCATGAGTAAAAAATAAACAATTTTTATAAGTATTACGTATGCTATCTTTTGTACAGGCCACCTGGACCGAGTTTAACAGAAAGGAACCAAGCCACATCAGCTATTGCCAAATTTAATCGGGCAATGCAATTTTTTACGAGAGAACGTTCGTGCGGATTCTTTTAAAATTTTTAAGGCATTTGCTTCAAACTATGGAGAATTTTCACTGTAATTTCCACGGAAATCCGCAGAACCGTTTTCATGTAAAAAATTAAATCGCCCAATTAAATTTGGCAATAGCTGATGTGGCTTGGTTCCTTTCTGTTTAATGCGGTCCACCTAGAAACCTACTTTTTACACATTTAGAATGGTACCCCATCATTTGGGTTATCTACCCCATTTTATACCTATTTAATATGGTATTTAATACAACCCTATTTTATACCTATTTTATATGGTATTGGATACTATAAAAAAAGGACACTTTATAGGATTTTTTAATATGGTATTTTATACCTATTTTAAGCTATTTAATACCCTATTTGATAGGTATTTGAATAGGTATTTTTTACATATCTTGAAATGTATTATAAATCATATTTTGGCTACTAGGGACACAAACATACGTTCAAAAACATAAAGAATATTGTAGGAAACTGTATGATTTGATTCATCATAGGCTTGATCAAAACAAAGAAAAGTATATTGCAGAAGTTAATGGAAATAGAAAACCTGCCCCTACAAAGCAGCCTAATGAAGTTCTCCGCAAAAATACTCAGGGCAACACAAAAGTACAACCAAGTTTCATCCCCAAAAAAATTCAACAAAAAGCCAACAAAGAGACAATGGTATTGCATAACCCGAGAAAACCTGCTGGTGAAAAACTACGCCTAGATCAGATAAAAAAATTATATCTGGATTGAAACCAAGAATGCGATCCAAGAATTTTTTCTCTCTTTCCCTCTTCTTCATACTGATTCTCATTCTGATTCATTGTAGATTCTCTAACATTTTATAGAGTCCCTTTATACCCAGAGTTAAGACAACTCGATTATCAGCTGACTGGCAGCCGGCCTTGTCTGGCCATGGAGGCCGAAACGAGTGCACTCAAACGAACGATATTGAGGGATAAGGATCAGGAATCCTGCGATGTCTGTCACACAAAAACAACAACATCAACAAATTGATCAATTAAAAAGAAAATGAGATTGGTTTGTGAATAATTTCTTAATCTATTTTCATTTTGGACCGATGGAAATAACAATTTACTCTTGATAAACCACAATTAGGTAATATTTTCATTATTCTTGTTCACATTCGAGGTACCGCCATCTTGGTGCACTCGTTTCGGCCTCCATGAGCGAGAACCAATCAGAATTGGATTTTTTTTTAGGCCACTCTCAGCCCAACCAAAAGTGAGTTGTCTTAACTCTGGGTATAAAGGGACTCTAACATTTTACTCCACCCTAGCATTTATATCCTGATTTATTTTTGTCGTAATTAGTAAGCAAAAATTCAACGTTACATTTCCCGTCCCACTGAAAATTGAAAATGTTTTAAATTTACAAAAGGCTCCATCCGTGTAGTTTTAACGCGAAGGTTCTCTGCTAGTATACACCATCAAAATACCTTTGAATGCTCCTTTTTCCTATAAATATTTTATGTTACAACAAATCCCCCTCTCTGTACAGCCAGAACAAATTCGAATGTCATTTCAGGAAAAATATGTACCTACTATCACATGGCGATTTACTCCTTGGATCTACCCTTGCCCCAACGTACCCGGGAAAAGAACTCTACCACTGCGACGATAACTTTTATACAGTCAGTGATTGCATCCATGAACTTTTTCAGGCTAAACAACTACACCAAATAACCCGGTTACTATTAAATGTCTTCTTCAGCCACCTGACATGACGACGTCTCAATCTCAAAAATGTATCTTTCCTGGTAGTTTTACCATCTAGATACCTACTATTTTTGAATCCAGGTTGGGAGGTGATATATTTTCCATACACAAGAGTCATACTGTTATCGGTATCTCTTGAACTTAGACCTCATGATAACACCCGGCGGCCCGGACATCCGATCGCCGCACCGAATCCACTTACCCTACGCATCGCGCGCTAAGGAGGTCACCACTGCAATTCCGATTTTTACTTTCGTTTTTGTGAAATAAATTTTATGAATTTATTCCAAGTTCTCTCTCTTATTTAATTCCCGATTAGTTATTTGTTTCACTACAATAATGGCAGACATACAATCTTTACGACACCATGGAGTGAAGGTGCGGTGCTTTACTGGATTAGCACTCCTACACTTTCAATGCGTACATCTACCTATTGTAAGATCATTAGAAGCTCAATAAACAATATGATGAATTTCTGCGCCTGCCACAATTATTTTTAACATCACTAAAATTACCTATGGCAACTTTTCTGAACTCAGAATATAAGCTCGAGCATGATTTGAAGGGTTGTTGAGATTACTTAGGTATTCATTCAATTTTTAAATATGAACGTAAAATGATTAAAAATCCACTGTCATTTTTCCAACTGTTGCTCAGAAAGTCAGTAAAGGCTTTTTTAGTGAAGAAAATTGTGGAACATACACGGGATAAAAGAGTAATAATAATTTTATTGAATCAATTCATAGTGAAAAAATGAAGAGTAGCTTGTGAAAATGCCGCCAACGCATGAAATTCAAGTTCAATCGAAAATATGCGCATAAACAGCGCCAGAATCGGAAAGTTTGATTTCCCGCGAAAGTCGGGTTACAGCGCCCGCATAAACCCGACGGCGAAAACTTGCAGTACAAACTCGGGTTTCGTGAAACCTCGGTTTCGAGCCTCGCATAAACGTAGCCAATGCTTTAAGTTTAGCTATAACAACCAGGCTTCGGAGATACTAGCTACGTTTATGCGAGGCTACTGAGAGTCAAGACAATTCGGCTCATGGATGTCACAAACGGGAATAAAGATTACAGAAATTGAACGTTTTTCGTAATCTTTGATCGGCCCATTCTCAAATGCCTTTCTCCGTTCCTCCTCTCATTCCGTTTGTTCCTTGCCGAACCCGTAATTCCCTGGTCCATTCCAGATTATAATCTTTGCAATTGGTGAAAATGTAATCTTTATTCCCGTTTGTGACACTGTGGAGGCCTAAAATACGGGAACCAATCAGAAATGGATTCAAATTGTCTTGACTCTCAGTTTAAAGGGACTCTAATTATGCTCTGTTGCTCTCTCCTCTCCTCTACTCGTTGCTCATAATGGCGCCAAGCACAAATTTTACTCTCGGAGAAAAATTAAACTGCTCAGCTCAGGGAATTGACCTTTTTGATCGAGATTAAATTTCTAAAAGAGTTCGAACCAAGTACTAACCAGGGTAATTCTCAAAATTCTTTGACAAGACATTTTTCTGATATAATTTAAGGATTAAGGAGGGAAAATCTTAGCACCCAAGTAGCATTTTGCAACGAAAAAATTGCAATTTAAATGAAATAAAATTTCCAGATGATTTCAACTTTCTTGCAAGAAAATTGCAATTATTTTACAACATCTGACCCCCTCATTGTAAAAAAGTTGCAATTTTTTTTT